TTGGCATTTTTATGATTTTCCTATGATTTACTACGAATTTTACAAGTTTTCTTCAGCATTAAATTAGAAAATACCTCAAAAATGAAAAAGGGCCGGTGGCAACTAAACTGGCCCAGCAGCCCCACGGCCCATGCAGAAGCAGCTGCGCGCGCAGCGGCTAGCCCAGCATCGGCCCACAGCGGAAGCGGCCTCAGCGTGGCCCACGACTGGCTAGCCGGCTCGGCCCGCAGGCGCACAGCGCGCGGCCTAGGCGCGACGGTAGCAGGCCAGCCCAGCCAGAGCGCGTCCCATGTGCGCTTACTACTTTTACAAAAAGACCCTAGGATTTCCTTCTAACTACGACAATGTCCAATTACTATTTCGTACACCCACTAACAAGTTCATTTCCCCCCTAGCTGTCACCTAATTCATGCGCGTATGTCCCTAGAGGCAGAGCACCATGGTGGGGATGATTCGATGGCGGCCAAGACCGGCCGGGGAGGGCACAACGGCGGTGGAGGGGTGGCCGCCAGGGCGTAGGGCCACCGTAGTGTTCGTGCGACCACACAGGACCACGGTGACCCACGACGACGTGCAGGGCATGTCTGCCCGCGTGCAGACATGTATGGCGGCAATGGCGTGCGCGCTCCGGCAAGAAGGCTATGGCAGAGGCTAAATGGGGAGTCAAGGAAGGAGTAGTGACTCACCACGAACACCGCTACGGAGTTGGTTAGGGCAGGAATGGCTCGAGGCGGACTAGCCACGTGCGCGGTGAAAGGGCGGCGGCGCACCGAACTGGCACCCGAGCGCCACTCCATCTCCGGCGATGTCTCCCGCCAAACTATGATGAGCATCGACACCGGTAGGTCAAGGGCAGTACAAGAGTACGAGCAATCAAACTAATGCTGATCATGGAGGCTTACCCCCAAACATGCTCTGTAACGGCAGTGAGCTGACTGGCGACAACGAAACGTCAAAATTGGCCATCGCTAAAGCATGGCTGTGACTAATTATGGGTCGGGCGGTTGGCTAGCTTTGTAACCTAGCTACTAACGTGAAGAATTGAACCGAGATGGCTCAAGCGCCGTGAATTAGAATGGAGCACACCGACAACAGCATGAGGGCACGGCAGGGAACAGTGGGCAACAGTGCGTGACACAGGGCGTGATTTGTCTTGGTGTGGTGTGAGAGCGACAAGGCGACCACGCTATGGGATAGCAGAGACGGGCGGCTACTCGACGGGTAGGTAGCATGCACGGTGGGGAAGGAGCCACGTCGGCCGGATGGTGGACGTCGAGACAACGACACGGCCCTACGCTCGGACACGTCGGTGATGACCTAAACATGACCTCAAGGAAACGAGCGTTGCCTACCCCGGCACGAGGAGCGTCTGGTACCAGCGGGGTTGGCCAGCGGGCAGCGGCCACGGCCAGGAGCAGCCGGGCAGCCGCGGCGCCAGACATGGCGTGGTGACCGCGGCCACAGAAACTCAACGACCGAAACAGCAATGCGCACTAATTTTAAAGTGATGCCAAAGCTGCCAAATAGTGCGGTTAAAGTTCGACCAACCTCACTAACCCAATTTTTACGCCACCAGCTAGCTCGGGAAACACTCGGCACGACCAAAGAGTGACTAGGGAAAAAGATACGAGAAGGCCAAGATGAGTTCGTCGCGCAGCGCACCGGTTCACGAACAGAGCACCAAACGTGGGCCTTCGTGTGTTCTAAGGAGTTTCGAGCAATTCCGGGGGTAACCCCGCTACGTCAGACCACCCTATGAACCACTCCACGCCAAAGTACTCACCATGATGCAAATAACGGTACAAGAATATAAAGCTAGTGTTTAAGTAATTTAGCTAGAATTTAAATGCTAACAAGTCATCGTCTATCGTCATCTTGGAAATTTCAAGGTTTAGGTTATAACTAACAGTCATTAGCACTTATGTCTTAATTTATAGAAGGTCTAAACCTTGTTAATCTCAACTTAACAATACACCATGCAATGATCCATACTTCACACTAACTCATAGAGGCAAAACATTTAAGCACTATTTGATTATTTGGTACAATATAATTTACCAAAAATGACATCCTAACTATTACTCAACTTCTTGCCGATTCACGAAAATTCTAGTTTAACTTTTTGAATTTGATTTCTAAGCTACCAATATACTATTGAACAACCTTTACTCACCAAAACAAAAATTGCATTCTCACTACTAATTTGCACTTCACTTTTTATTTAAGATCTAAATACAAGTTATATCTTACTCTGTTTGTAAAAATTGTTTTCATGCTCAATCCAACAGAACAAGCCATTAACCATTTACTTACTAGAATCGTTATCGGACATTTTGAAATGCTTTTAAGCACTAAGCGAATTAACTCAGATATTTAGTTTAGTCCATCAAAGTGAACCACATAAGACTTGCTCGTCAGTCCATGCGTGTTTTAAAAACCTGAAAATTTATTGGCTGATTCCTCTTAGATCTAATCTAGGTGCTAAGTGAGCTTGTAACACCAGAGGTGTTACACTCATGATGCTTGTGAAAAAAATGTTGACAGTTATCACTTTTTTATAAAAATGGACAAGTCATGTTCATAAAAAGATACATTACGTTAATCTATACCTAATACTAAAGAGGCAAAATTTCTGTCATCAATTTTTTTCATCCAGCCTTGTCCACCCATATCTGTTTCTGAGTCGGTCTGTCAGTTAGAAGGGATTATGAGTGGAGAAGAGAATAGAAAGAAATACAGGGTTTAGACGTAAAGATATCAGATAAAAAAGAAAGGGTGGGAGGGCTATAGTTTTTGAAATAGATCGGGTTCCTGATGCAAAATGTCCAAATCCGAGTGGGCTTTTTTTCGACTTGAGCTGAATCCTTGCAGTTAGGCTGGCTTCGTTGTGCGCTGGACCAAGCCCATGTAAGCCTTTTTCCTTTTCCTTCATTTTTCTCTTTTCTACAAAAAAACAGAGATCTTGCAAAATTCACCAAAAATCATAGACAAATCAGAAAAATTCCAAACCAGTTTTGTTAGCTTCATAAAAATGTGATCTACCCATAGATGTTATGAATCTTTTTAGAGTGTGCTTTGTCTATAGATGTATTAAATCATCCTTGCATATGTTGCATGCATATAGGTTCGGTGATGACCGAGATCATGCCAGAGGCAGACACGGAATGCGCGGAGGTGGCCGAGGAGTATGAGGAGGATGTCCTCGTTGTCGGTGTTCCCAAAGCCTTCACTAACTTTCTGCTATCCGATTCCTTCCTAAGACAAGCCCCGGTGCATAACCCCTACTTTTCAGCACTTATTATGTTTGTTTGCGCATTAAGTTTTCAAAAGAAAGATTTACACCATCTGATGTAGTTTTGATAAGAAACAAAACTTATTTTTATTGAAATATGGATTAGTCAATGGTAAAACTAATTATTTCTTGAACCGGAATCTTGGGCAGATTATTGACTAATGAAATCTAAACAAATGTATTTATGTAATTCCTAACAAGGGCTGCCATGTGAAAAATCAAGAGATCTCTCGTCATAATCATTGGCGGATAGACCAATCCTGACACATCGACAAAAAAGTTATGGAGGTTGATATGATGCGTCAAAAAAGCTACAAAGGTTGATATTGAGTCATAGAAACACGTGGGTAGTATGAAAAAGCTACAAAGTTATGATATATTTATATCTAAAGCATTATGCGCTTTGCAACGGAAGAAAAAATATATTAAGGTGTATTTTAATTCAATACAGGTTTAATAGGATTTTATTTATTTCAGCATTAACTTATATTATGGATGTGACGGTCATCATGAAAAAAAATTAAAAAAGCAAAAAACATAAGTATATATGTACCATTCACGTTATCATTTTGTATGAATGTTTAGTAGTTTTTTTCTCCCATTGCAATGCACGGGCATATTTGTTAGTTACTTAAAAAAGATTGGACCTACCAAGTATCATAAAAAATGTTACATGCATATAAAATTTATAATGCAACTCTTTTATTACACACCCAAAATAAATATGTCTATTGTGTTACCAAAAAAATGTATATTAAATATGAAAGGATAAATACAAACATCTTTGTATTAGTTCTAAATACAACTGTCACGTCATATAAAACACGTCTCTACATGTGTGCAGTGTGTCCAACTATTGCATGCGTGTGTACCATTATTGTACACGTTATATAAAACATTAGATCTCATCATGTTGCATCATGTATATTAGATCTAGCAGGAATAAATTCTTCTATATTTCTCCTATTGCTTGCTAGGAGGTAATATGTAATAATTGACATCCACATCAATGGTCCACAGTTATTTGATAGTACCCATAGCAAAGCTTCCTTTTTAACCAGAATTGCGAGCTATAGTATATGGTTGTAAAGATGCATTTTGAAAAATTCTTCGATTGCGCTCCTTTCAAATGTTCTATCAAAATCCCGTAATGCCGCATTAATCTCTCTTCTCCTTTCTAGATTGTACCCTTGCTTTCCGCCACACTTTGTAGAGATTTGGAAGATGCCTAAGATCAAAGCAAGGCAGGATAATAGTTGAATCCACTTCAGTGAAGGGGTAATCTTTGCAAAGATGCTTGGGTGTTCTGGTCTTCTGGATCGGTCATGAATAAATGACATATAAGATTGTTTGGCCATCCCCTCTTTTGTAGATTGTTTGCTATCAAGATTTTTCTGCATTAGCATCCAGGTGAAGAACTTGCAACGTGGTTCTGCTCAGTCTTCCAGATGGTCTAAAAGAAGCATAAAACCATGGGTTCATGATTAGGCAGGCAGCTAACAGAATGATTAGGCAGAGCGCACTAGCACTACGGTGGAGGAACTTTCCATTCCATAATAAAAAGCAATCATGGAACCTGAGCTGAGACAATGCATCTGCGCATTTCAGCGATTATCTCTCTCTCGCTTTCTCTCTCCCTCTCAGCCAATGCAAAGAAACCAAGCTCTACGCCGCCACGCAATAAACCCAAGGCCATCACCGGCCGGTCATGCAGCTCCTACTCTTAATGACAACCAGGCGTCTACTGCAGCTGCTCCTGCTGATCTCCGCCGTGGCGACAACCTGTGCAGCTGCAGCCTTGTATCCACCAGGCCATGACCCATGGCCTGACGACGAGAGAGCTCTTGTGGCTTTCAAGGCCAAGATCTCTGGCCACTCCGGCGTGCTGGACTCGTGGAACCAGAGCACCAGCTACTGCAGCTGGGTGGGCGTCACCTGCGGCAGGAGGCACCGGTGGAGGGTGGTAGCCCTGAACCTCACTTCCCAGGGGCTCGCCGGCACCATCTCCCCTGCTATCGGTAACCTCACTTTCCTGCGCTCACTGAACCTGAGCTCCAATGGCCTGCAGGGAGAGATCCCTCCCAGCATCGGCTCTCTCTGGCGCCTCCGACACATTGACCTGGGCCTCAACATGCTCACCGGCGTCATTCCGAGCAACATTAGCCGTTGCATCAGCCTCCGTGAGATGCACATCTACAGCAACAAGGGAGTGCAGGGAATCATCCCAGCCGAGATTGGCAACATGCCATCGCTCTCAGTTCTAGTGCTGAAAAACAACAGCATCACCGGAACCATCCCGTCGTCTCTTGGGAACCTTTCCCGGTTGGCACTCCTGTCCTTGTCAAGGAACTTCCTGGAGGGACCAATCCCTGCAGGCATCGGCAGCAATCCGTATCTCGGTTTGCTTGACCTCTCCCTTAATAATCTCTCCGGTTTCCTCCCTCCTTCCCTGTTCAACCTGTCATCTATTTCTCTCTTTTATGCGGCTGTCAACCAGCTCCGTGGCCATCTACCATCTGACCTGGGGAATAGCCTTCCCAGTATCCAACATCTTGGGATTGGAGAAAACCGATTTACTGGAGCTCTTCCGCTATCACTAACCAATCTCTCCAGGCTCCAGCTTCTTGACTTAGGAATTAATAATTTTACTGGAGTTGTTCCTGCTGAATTGGGCAGATTGAAACAACTTAAAGTGTTTGCTCTGTATGAAAACATGCTAGAGGCAAACAACGAGGAAGAGTGGGAATTTATTGGTTCTTTGGCGAATTGTAGCAGATTACAACAACTGATATTTGGATGGAATAGGTTTGCAGGAAAACTGCCAGGTCCGTTGGTTAATCTGTCTACAAATCTCCATCTGCTGAGGATGGAACACAACAGCATATCCGGTGCCATCCCAATAGATATTGGAAATTTGGCAGGTCTTGGGATGCTTGATTTTTCCCACAACTTACTCACTGGGGTCATTCCTGAAAGCCTCGGAAAGCTTACACGATTGCAGCAGCTAGGCCTCACTTCAAACTACCTCTCAGGACATCTACCATCCTCCATCGGAAACCTTTCTAATCTACTTCAACTTTATGCACGCGACAATAGCTTGGAGGGGCCAATTCCACCGAGCATTGGAAACTTGAGCAAACTTTTGGCCCTAAGTCTGTACAATAACAACCTTACTGGCTTGATTCCTAACGAAATTATGGAGCTGCCGTCGATCTCAATGTTTCTCGATCTGTCCAACAACATGCTGGAGGGACCACTTCCGCTAGAAGTTGGCAGTTTGGTACTTCTTGAACAACTCTTCCTATATGGAAACAAATTGTCAGGTGAGATACCCAATACTATTGGCAACTGCAGGGCCATGGAAATCCTCTATATGGATGACAATTCATTCCAAGGAAGCATACCTTCTACGTTCAAGAACATGGTAGGCTTGACGGTACTTGGTTTAATGGACAACAAGCTGAATGGAAGCATCCCTGGCAACCTAGCTACCCTTACCAACCTACAAGAGTTGTATCTTGGCCACAACAATTTATCTGGAACAATCCCAGAGCTTTTAGGTAATTCATCATCGTTGTTTTGCCTAGATCTGTCCTACAACAATTTGCAAGGTGAAATACCAAAAGGAGTTTTCAAAAATTTGACCGGACTATCAATTGTTGGTAACAATGGGTTATGCGGGGGGATACCACAGCTCCATCTGCCAAAATGCCCAAGCTCTTGTGCAAGAAAGAATAGAAAAGGCATACCCAAGTTTCTCAGAATAACAATCCCAGCAATAGGAAGTCTCATCTTACTTTTTCTGGTTTGGGCTGGATATCACCACAGAAAGTCCAAGACAGTACCGAAGAAAGATTTGGCACCACAATTTGCAGAGATAGAGCTTCCAATAGTTCCATACAACGATATAATGAAGGGAACAAATGGATTTTCAGAAGCAAATGTGCTTGGAAAGGGAAGATATGGTACAATATACAAGGGCACGCTAGAAAATCAAGCCATTGTCGTTGCTGTTAAGGTGTTTCATCTCCAACAATCAGGATCCTACAAAAGCTTCCAGGCTGAATGTGAGGCACTAAGAAGAGTGAGGCACAGATGCCTTCTAAAGATCATTACATGTTGTTCTAGCATCAACCACCAGGGTCAAGACTTCAGAGCACTAGTCTTTGAGTTCATGGCTAATGGCAGCTTAAATCGATGGATCCACCCAAATTTGGATGGCCAAAATGGACACAGAGCACCCAGCTTGTCACAGAGGTTGGATATCGCTGTGGACATTGTGGATGCTTTGGACTATCTTCACAACGGTTGTCAGCCATCGATCATCCATTGCGATCTCAAGCCAAGTAACATTCTTCTCAATCAGGACATGAGAGCTCGTGTCGGAGATTTTGGCATTGCTAGAGTTCTAGATGAAGCAACAAGCAAACATCATGTGAATTCCAGTTGCACAATAGGAATCAGAGGTTCCATTGGATATATTGCTCTAGGTAACTCAAATTATTTTATTTCATGCTTCAAATTATAGCTTCTATCCCTATTAGCTAATCAATATGTGCTGCTGCGTGGGTTAGTAATTGTTAAAAAAATAAGTCAGAAATGCATGGATAATTGGGTTAGAGCTCAACAAAATTTAGTATCTTTGCTATTTCCCATTTGCTCATATGTTCGAATTTAGTTTGAATCTTAGCTTCTGCTATGCGTTGGACATGGAAACTGGCATATTGAATGCTTCCCTCAAACATGTACCCCTCGTCTACATAGTGACACACATCATGCATGTATACCATAAGTGGATAACTTGGAAAATGTATACGGTTACTTTTTAGATAGTTTTTTTTTAAAAAAAACAACAGATGCATGCTACTAGATTCAGACTCGGGATTACTTTAAAATGTTAATATAACAGTACAAGTGGGTAATTCAAAAGCAAATTTTAATGGTTACTCTTTGTTATTTTTTATGATGTCACCATGGATAATTTAGATGAAGATGAGGGGTTATTTTAAGTTAGTCTTGGCAATGTCATATGTTGGTAATTTAAATATACAAGATAGAAAGGACATTTAAGATTTTTTTTATAACGGCAGAGGTGTGTATTTTTAGAAAGCACAACATATCAAATGCATATTATTGCCATTGATAACTATAGTATACTAAATTGATGGCCGATGCCTTTTATTTTTGTGAGAAAATATAATCTTGGATTTAATTTTAGTTATGTCTAGCCTTGTGAGCACTAGTGCGGTTGCTCCAATAGGATTATCCAATCACTAGTAGTAAGATGCACATCAAGTAGTCTTTGAGTTTTATACATATATACTTATGTATCCTCATATTTCATTCCACTGCAGAATATGGAGAAAGGCTTGCGGTGTCGACATGTGGAGATGTATTTAGTTTTGGCATCACTTTGATCGAGATGTTCACAGGGAAGAGCCCGACAGATGATATGTTTAGAGATGGGATAAGCTTGCATTATTATGCCAAGGCTATCATGGAGATAGCAGATTCCAACATCTGGCTACATGATGGAGTAAACAATAGCAATGATATAGCGCATATAACAAGAACCTGGGAATGCTTATCGGCTGTCATTCAGCTTGGTGTCATTTGTTCAAAGCAATTGCCCACAGAGCGATTGTCAATGAACGATGTTGCTGCAGAGATGCATGCTATCAGAGATAAATATATTTTTACTCAATAATTAAGTGGTGTTCATATTAATCACCACTAGCTTATTCTATCATGTTTCTCTAAATGTACTGTTGAAGTGTGTAATGTATCAATTTGCTTCTCTTTTTCCTGTTGTAACATCTCCTTTTATTAATATATCTATCTATGAAGCAAACCCTTCTGTTATGTAAAAAAAATATACATATTTGTTTATTTTGGGGGTGAATTGTACAAGATTTTGTTATCAATTGTGCTGTGTTGTCTGCTTATGTCATAGGCTGATAGGCTGATATACATATGGGTTAGTTGGAATCATGCTAGTATAAATGTCACGACGCCATTACACTATTCATCTATTTGTAAACTTGTCATTACAATTCGTTATATAACCAAGCCATGGACTTCATACATATTTGATGACGCTGAGCTCACATAAAGTTAATTGTATTTTGGTTTTGCCTACAATCCCCTTTCTTCACATCCTCCCTCCAGCTTGCCTAATGCCCTAACCTATTGTTGCGGGCTTAATTATGGTGGTCTTTCCCTGCTTCAGAGAGGAACGCGAGGCCGTGGAGCCAGTACAAGGTGAGATACCCGTCACCTGTTGCCTCCTTAGAGGTGGTGCCAATGCGAGCCAAGTTAATCTTTTTCAGGGTACAGAGAGTGCTAATAATTCTTCCATTGATGATTGATGTTTACATATACATACAACATGAGAAAGCAGCTCCGTGGGATGTGGGTTTGTGGAAGAAGCAGAGAAAACAATGAAAGGCGAGATAGATGATGCTTCCAGAACTGAAGCCCTCTCCGAAGCAACGCCTGAACGTACGAGTACACTTTCAGCTGAGCTGACTCACAGTAATAATACTCCGGGTGGCATTTTCTTAGTCACCTCAGCTCCTTGACCTCATGCCGTAGCTAGTGTGACTAAGACGACATAGGACATGCAGATGCATTTCTTAGTCACCCCACTTTGTACAGTCTGCCTGTTCCTTCCAAAATCCGAACTTTATAGCGCGCGGATCACCCCTCTGAAAAGGCATGATAAATTGTAATCCAAGACGCACTGTCAGTGAAGAAAATTGAAACGGAAAGAGAGGAAGCCATTATAAATTGTTCTGGATGCTTTGATGATCCATTTGGCGACACGATTTTGGATAAAGTTTTGATTACTGATAAGCCAAAATCAAAGAGCATGATTTGGCCATATTTATCAAGATCGTTATGTAAGATCAGCTCTTTCCTCTCTAGGAAAAGCTGCCGGTCAGTTCGTAACCTCTGTGGAGATTGCTAATGATATTTGTTCAGAGAAATTAAAGACACTACCATTTATGAATTATGAACAACATGCAGCATCCAAAGTAATAAATAAAATGCATTATCTTGTCGGGCTAGGTCTGGATAAATCACGGAGAGGTATAAATTGATTTGCAAGCAAAGTCCAATAATAAAGCCAAGTGTTTCGCTATTAGCTAAGTTGTTAGAGTCAAGCTATATATACAATAGTAATCTTTTATTTGTCTATAAGAAACTTTTTTTATCGTTAGTTTTACCCATGTCTCACCTTCTCTTTTCTAATCCTTCTCACATTTACTTAATGTATGTATGGACCCACCACTGTATCATCCATATCTAGATTGTTGCTTACATGTGAGCCAAGCTCTCCTCTCTTCTCTCCTCCACTTCAGCATTTTTTTTTTTGGCTATTCATTGAACCAAACAAAAAAATGGCTCGTCTCATATCCATCCAACCAAACACATTATATGGATAACATATTCAGAAATCCATGGATACACATATCCCATCCAACATTGTTCTCAAACCAAACGCACCCTGTACTTGCTCTTAGGCACTGCAGCATTCAGGACCATACCATTCGGAGTAGTTCGGTGACATATCTATCATGCACCGGTGGTATGAGCACCACGAGAAGTAGCGGCAGGATTACTGGAGCACCGGCGGCCGTGGCACATGTAGGAGCTTCAGCAGGTGGGGCAACAGTGCAGCACAGGGAGATAAGGAGCAACTTCCGAGACACGAAAGTACTAGTCTATCTTTCAAATTTAATTTAGAACAATTAAGTTTCCGATCTACGACTTAAGTTCCTCCCCATTGATTCTTATTATTTGCCGTTTCCATCCACACCGCCTCCTCGCCTTGCCACCGCCAAACTGCCACCAGACGGAAGTCGAGACGGACGAGGTCTTCCACGCGCAGGGCTTCGCCGGTCTTCCACGCGGGGCTTCGCCGCGGCGGCCGCGACCGCGCCGTCGCTGGCGGTCTTCATCGACAAGAGCTCTCGCGTGATCTGCCAGGGCATCAAGGGGGAAGAACGGCACCTTCCACACCAAGCAGGCTATCGAGAAGGGCACCGACATGGTACGCCCCCGCCGTGGTATTCTAAAGATGCAATCTCTGCTGCTGGTGTGAATTCGTGTCTTCTATTTGTTGAAGAGACCACGCCGAGGACGCATGTGCTTGCTACTGATCGCCGAATAGCAAGCAACCTGGCATCAAGGTGTGGGTTCATGCACGGCAACCTGCTGCCCTATTTCATCTTCGTCATTCAGGAAATTCTTAGGTTTGTGTTCTTCAGTTAAATTTTGTTTTCGGCCTTTGACACCTCGGCGCCTCCTTCCGTTCTCATCAGCGCCGCCAATCTCCGGCGGCCTCACCTTTCCCTCCCTAGGCAGCAGCGACAGCGACCTCTCAATTCCGGCGGCAGCACGACTCCCAGATCGACAGGCCCCGGCGGACGCGAAACCCCAAGCCCTATCGGCGGATGGCGATGCACTGATGGAGTCCCTGGAGGCGCGACGCACTGATGGAGTCCCTGAAGGCCCTCGTGGTGCACATCTAGGGCCTCTCCGGCCGGCAACCCCTTCTGATGCCCGACGGGCGAGGAGGAGAAGGGCGCGCCGGCATTGCCAGCGCCGGTGCCCGTGGAGGACGCAACGGCGTGTCCGGGAGCGGGTGACGAGGTCGCATCGTCGTAGCCCCTAACCGCGACAAGGTCGGATCTCACTCCATCCCCTATGGCCCCTTCAGGTCTCTGGTTTTGATCTGGTTCTTATTGCGGCCTCGCTGGTGGTGGTGCCGGCACACGACTGGGCTGCAGGCACTGACTGGCGCCATGGACAAACCGGAGGTACTCTTGAGGTCTTCATGTTCAATGAGTTAAATTGTTATGTTTATAAACCTGAAACTTTTCAGTCCTATGCTCAATTTCTGACAATATAAAACTGATTAGAGAATGTTTGAATCTGTAGAAGGTATATTTTTTTACTCATTTTTTAAATACGTTGGCAGGCTTGTAATTATAAATTTACTGATATGCTTCCTTTGTACTTTCTACCAGTAGAGAATGATTTAGATGAACAAAACCCAAAAGAAGATGGTTCAGTTATCTTGCTTATTAGGACGTCGCCTATCAGGCTACCGTAACTTTAAACATAAAGGCCTAATGTCATTGTATTTGGTTATGCTCTTCTCATCTATATATATAATAATAGGTAAAGTGCACTGGTCTATTTATACACTGAAAAAAAAGGCTCTCAAGTCTCAAATCATAATTGTTTTGTGAATTTTGGTTTCAGGCCTGCACATGTTAGTATTTGTTTCAGATCTAAATTTGGATTCCAAACTTTATGAGGTGCCTTTTTTTTTTGTCTGCACGTGAGAAGTTTCTTCTTAATACAATGCCACACGGGGGCAGGTCTCCCCCCTCCCCCCAGGTAGAGTTTTTTTATGCTGCAATATTTGTTAGGAGGAACGCCCTGTTTCCAGATAAATAAGCATTGCTTAGTGTCTCTTGTCATCTGGTGATCTGGTGTACATTTCCAAGTTATTTTAATGGATTGAAAATATTGTGCAACAATTGTAGAAGTAGGCACAATGTAGTTGGATGGTTTATTTGCTGCTTCTCAGTTCTCACTCGATGTAGCAATAATATCAATTCCGTGATCCTTGTGCTGCAGTTTCTGAAACTTTGCTTTCCTGTTGTTTTACGCGTGTTTAGTTCCAACCCCAAATTCTCAAAAAGTGCTACAGTACCCATCACATCGAATCTTGCGATACGTGCATGGAGCATTAAATGTAGACGAAAAAAACTAATTACACAGTTTGGTTGGAAATTACGAGACGAACGTTTTGAGCCTAATTAGTCCATGATTAAATACTAATTGTCAAATAAAAACAAAAGTGCTACGGTAGCCCAAATTCCCAAATTCACCCAACTAAACACGCGTTTTATCTGAACAGGGGACGATTTTCTTGTTGCTAGCACTGACTAACTGGTCATAAAGCTGAAGCTTGCTTTCGAAACTGGTATTCATGATACGGTTGCCATTGACCTGGTAAGAGATTAGCTGCAATGTAAGGTTGTTTTCCTTATCTCTGTTGCAAGTTGACTGAACCGAATGGATTTAGGCCATTGTGACAGGTGGCAATGTGCATCAATGACATCATAACTTGAGGTGAAAAACAGTTGTTCTTCCTAGATTACTACGCAACAAGCAAGCTTGATGTTGATCTTGCAGGGAAGGTGCTGCCACTTTATTTTCTCACAGAAACAAAATAAAATATGCTCTTCTCATACTTGTTTTTTTGGTCATCTGTTCATGGAACTTTTTGATTTTACCCACATAAGTACTTAATAAATTATATGTAGGTTATCAATGGGATTGTGGATGGGTGCGAACAATCAGGTTGCGCTGACTACAAAAGAAAATAAAATAGCAATCAGATTTTGCTTTCCTAGGAGGGGAGGTAAGATATTATTCTGAATTAAATTACCATGACTTAGCAATTCAACCCTGCGGTGTTATCCTTATAAATAAGTCCCAGTAGCTGTGTATGAACTGATCAAATGTCTTGCCCTGCCGGTACTGTCTTTGATTGCTGCATATAACATAATTGTTTACTCGGTTATTATCTGAATTTTTTGGGATGACTCATTTTACTAGAAGAAAATTTTTAATGTTTATGCTTGCAACCTGATTAATAATACCAGTGTAACAAAATATTCTGAA